CTTTTCTAGTTTGTGGGGCAACCAATTCTCCAAGAAAGGCACATGGCTGATTTGTAAAAAGGCCCCTTGGCAATATTTTCATTTATTGACCAAAATCCAGACAACATCGACCCCTCTAGGCGACTTACACCAGATGAGACAAAGTATTAACAACATTATAAAATCCATCTAAAAATTAATCAACAATAAGCCAAGCAATTAAAAACTATAATAAAGCCGTAGCCACCATCACATGAATCTGAAAGCTGTCTTCAAAAGGATGGGGGATTTTTTTCCTTCTTCTAAAACAGGGTTTCTCAACCTCAGCAACTTGAAGAGGGGTGGACTTCAACCCCCAGAATTCCCCAGTCAGCATGCTGACTGGGGAATTCTGGGAGTTGAAGCCCACCCCTCTTCAAGTTGCTGAGGTTGAGAAACCGTGTTCTAAAAACATCATCAGGGCAGGGGTAAGTTTTTCTGGGGGGACGGGGGAGAGTGGCTTCTGAGAAAGTCAGTCCCCAGGTCCTAGCTCCCCCCGCCTGGGTTTCTTGCAGGGTGGGTCCCTGGAGTACCCTCTCCCTATTTGATCACGTAAGTCAGCAGATTCTACATGAAGTTGGTCTCAAGTGTGAGAAGGACCGAGCCATAAATGGCTGGATCACCAATGGCACAACAGCTCCTGCAGAACATGCCGTTCTCCTCAGCCAGCTAGCCTGGGTCAGCAAGCGGGCCCGTGTTATGTGCCCACTGTAGCCTCCGGATGGTCTCCAAGGGCAGCTCTTTGTAAAGCGAATTGCAGTAGTCGGAGACGACAAAGCCCAAGCTACTGGCCTCAACGCGTCCGGGTTCAGGAAAAGGCGCAGGAGGTAGACCTGCCAAGCTGGCCAAAGGCTGTCCCAGCCGCGGCGTCCGCATGCTTCAGCAGGAGCCACCTGTCCAGGAGAACCCCTGTACTGCGCACCACCTCCTCTGGGGAAGCGCTGCCCCAGCGGGGTTATGGAGGCGACATCCACGACACCAGAAGGCTCATGAACCATTTTGTTGGGGTTTATCCAGAGTCTGTTTCACCCCACCCAGACTTCGGCCGCATCTCCTGTCCAGCCCAGGCTGAAGATGTAAAGCTGCGCACGATTTTGCAGTATTAATTCTCTCTCTTCCCATACCCCCTCTGACACGGGAGATGCCTTTCCCTGACCCGGGACCCTGGTCAATGATCCACTTCCCTGGCTGGATTCACGGAACTGGCTATGCTAGAATTCTGCATCGTGCTTCGTTGAGCGGTCTGGTTAGCCGTAATGCTCAACCCCAATAGTTTATGGATCGTTACGGTATCGTCTTGTGAAGCAGGCTGTAATTTCAGACTTGTTTTTAGTCTTGATAGAAAGCTAGGATTGGTCTATCCCAATGTAGGTTGAGTCTTCCTTGCCTCCAAGCACTTTGCTTTGATCCCCTTCATAAACTGGTACCATCCACTTCAACTACAAATTACCTACAATTTATAATATAAATTACGTCATACAATTAGGAGTTGTAATCATAATTAAAAATGATATTATATATTTTCTTACCGATGCTAGTTACCTTCAATAATGCTTTCTAGGCATTCAATTAATTGGTATGTCAATTAGCAACCTTCTGCAAAATCACATTACTTGGGCTAATCTTTCCCAGGAGCGGCATTTTTCCTTCCTCCAACTTGGGAAGGGCTTCTATTCTCAGAAGGAACCCTTCTTTGCACTCTGAGGGTGTGTGTGGGGGGGGGGGGGGGGGGTTTCCAAAAATCGAGATGGAGGCTTCACACACACCATTAAAGCCGCACCCCCGTGCATGATTAAAAAACAGGCGCGGATTTCATTGGGCGGTTCTGATGGCCATCTGGGCACTTCTTAATTCCGCCTGCAGAGACCCCTGTGGCAACTTACAATTCCCCTG